GGCGGGGGACGCGCCGGAGGAAGTGCCATTGGACCGGAACACGATCACCGGACAATGAAACGTTTCCGCCCGCGGTGGCGGCGGCTACAGCGGCCCAGCGCCGCTTCCCTCGCCCGCCGCCGCGACGGAGCTGTGCAACCGCGCGCCGGTGCTCCGCGCATGACCGCACTCGCCTCGCCGCCCCCGCTTCCCTCGGCACAACCCTTCCCGGCCGCCGAATTTCGCTGCTTTACGACCGAGATGCTACAAGAACGGAATGACGCGGTTTCCAGAGCGGAGATCTTGCATCACGACAACGTACGATCAAGAATACTGTGTTTATTAAACTGCCCAACATTGTAAACACTTGTAACAAAATCGTTTCCTGAATACGAGCTAACACGAAATAGACTAATTATCAGTTATAATATTTTATAACCATTATATAATAATTATTAACAACACAATTACTCTGACACCGATTAGTATTGCTTACTTCACAATCTATTAATTAGTTAACATTCGGTTCCAACACTTCCTAGTCAGCCAAAACTTCCTACTCTTTCTTTTCAAATTTCGAGTTGTGCCACTATTACAGCGCATGAACCCTGTTTTCGAATCTACATTCTTTCGAAATCTACTCGAAGTGATAAGAGTACGTGCAGTAGATTTCGTTCAATTTCTCTGCGCACATACTGGCGTGTTCGCAGCTCTTGCACATTGTCACCCAATACCTTGGTTTAATCTCTCGGAAGTGACGGTTGGCAGTACTGGCCAAGGGCAGTCGGCGCGGCCGCGACCCCCTTTTCCGTAGGCCGTTCGTCGGGCGGTTCTTACGCCGGCGAACGGTACCTCGCCCGTGGAAACCGCCGCTCTTCGCCGTCATTGCAATGCTTCCTCTTTTGCGCGCATTGTGCGCGCGTCCGCTGCAGCGCACCACCCCCTCCTCGGAAAGGATCTCTGCTTGTCGCGAAGGCACAGTCGTTTACTTCGGGCGGCACAGCAGAGGCGGCGGCGGCGGCGGCGGCAGCGACAAAAACAGATCCAGCGTCGTTCGACCTATTGCCGTTCTCGTTCTCACTACTTTCGTTTAAGACGCTTATTTTGATGCTGTTCCTCTAAAAACGTCGCCCTTTAGCCAGCTGCCAACGATACTCGCCATTAATTAAAACAAAAAAATTGACGTAACGTGTCGAAAATTTACTGGAATTCCTCCAAACTTGTAAAGAATATATTGTGTCGATGCTCACTCAAGGCAAAGTGCAGACCATTATGTCTTTTCCTTCAACTTTCATTGCGTTTGGCATTTCTTTGCGCTTGTTCACTCAAGTTCCGCGCCGTCTCTTTCATTCGTTACACAAAAGGTTAATTATCTTCATTTCGCTTCAGTCAAAGCTACAACAGACTTTTCCAATTCAAATCCCAACTTTGTCATTCCAGAATTGGTGTTCGGATCTCGACGAAGTATTTTGTTATCCATTGTGGTTCACACCATCTCGTCGTTCACAGATCTTTCCTGGGTTTTCGCGTTTTTTCATACATAGTTTAATGGTTTCAAATGAACGTGTAATTTACCGGCTAGTTCGTTAAAGCACGAAGACTATTTCTAAAAACTCTTGGTTATGAATTTTATTACAGAAATGTAGTATAACAGTTCATAGACAAGCAAATAATGTAGCGAGTTCCTCGTCCGGAAGGATTGTATCAATACATTGTAAATAAACAATCCGGAGAAAATGAAAAAGTAATGTAACATATATCGTAGTTGGGTTAAATTTTTCGTGAATCTCGTGAAATAACTGTGCCTGAAGAAAAGTAAAGAAATAGCTTTGGAGAGTGAACATTTGTGTTTACATGCTCCAACATTTCGCTTCTTAATACACTTTTCTCTCGTTTGTCTTCTTGTATGAAAAAAAAAATTGGTATAATTTTCATTCATGCCCCATTCACAAGTGTAAAAGTAATTTAGTGCCAATGGTAAAGAAGAGTAGCCGGTGGTGCACAGTTCAAAGATGAGATTAAACGGAAGTAAATAGTCATGTCACTGTCCATACACAATTCACTCATAGAAACTGGCCTATGCTGTCAGATACACTTATTAGCATTTCATTCAGCAGACATCCACGGACACTTTAGGCTTTCCAAATATCGCGTGGGCAGACCACGTCACTCGCACGCCACCAAGGTTCGGCGGCCGTTAGTCCAGTGATGAGACAGGCGCCCGCGGTCTGGTACGTCTGTTAGAACCATTTCGCGCAGTTAGCGCCGCCCTTCTTCCTCGAGCAAGCTCTCACATGCCCGCCGACGGTCTCGCACGGTATGAAGGAGGAGGAGAAGGGGGAAGGGGGAAGGGGCAGGACGAGAATGAAGAGGGAAGAGAATGAAAAGGAGAAGGAACAGGAAAGAAGACGAGGGAGGAGACGGACGGGCAAGGAAAAGGAAGGGGGAGAAGAATGAGGAGAGCGAAGAAAAGGAAGGCGGAGGCCCCTCGAGAAGCGGCGCGTGGGTCAAGCCGGCAAGCCAGCAAGCGGCGTCCGCGCGGCCTCGCCGCCCGCGGCACGCGTCCCGCGCGCACTATGCGTCCAGCCTTCTAAAAAGGCGCTTACGTTCCGCTCGGCAGGCTCGAAAAAACAACGCAGCCAAAGCTACTTCACGAGCGGCGGGGGCGGGGGCGGCGGCGATTCCGGGAGAAAAATAAAATCACAAGTGTAGGCACAACGCAACAAAGGCGAAGAAAGAAAATAGGGAAACGGCGGGATTTCACGAGCTCGAGCCTCAAGAAGTGCGCTAGGTGCGCGAAGCACTTCAAGTGCCCCCTGAAACGACGCGGCGGTGCACAACACGCGAACCACCCGGCCAGGGCTTCATCTTGATCTCTCCGTTGCGTGGTAACACTGCATGTCAGGAGACTTTCCTCACAGAGACAGTTAACCGAGTCGACCTTTTCACTAAAACCGGAACCCATGTCCTTCATTGTTTCTATTTCCATCGCTGCATTCAAAACTCATTTGTACTTCACTGTAACAACTCTAAAGAAACGATATATTTTATTTCAGGTTTCATGGCTGAAAACCGATCAAACCTTTCTTATTCAGTAAATGCATAATTATCGCGTCGTGATAGAGGAGAATTTCTGAAGGCGGACGGGAAACGCTGGCGCACGACCCCGCTAATTGCAGCGCAATTAGAATGGAACGCAGCGTGCACCTGAGAATTTGCGTCTGTACCGCGCACGGTGAGTCAGGAGGAGAAGAAAACAGTCGCTAACGCTCACCCGCACGTCGCGCTAGAGCCACGGCCTTCGCTACCGTGTACACAACCGTTCGGCGTTACTCATCCCTGCCAAGGCCACGGCCTGTCGCCCCGATAAGATTGACGAACACTCACGACCGCTCTCCTGTCCTCGCACACCTCCTGTCACCGCACACCTGCCGCCGGTTCATGGCGGAAGAGCCTTCAATTTCCCCCCGCAAGGCTTGCTCTCTCCGTTTGCCAGCACCCTTGCCATTCAAATCTAGGCTACTGCGAGAACAAAGTCACAATACGAAATCATGTTATAATAACTAAGTGATCGTTATTAAAACAATGAACAGAACAGAAATCCTGTTCAAATTATTAAATGAGCGCACTTGCGCACGAAGTTCTCGTAAAAGAGTTCTGAGGGAAGGTATAGAGGTCTTAGGGCTTGGCGTATTAGATGACTAGAAAAAATATATTGTTCGTATTGTGTAGGTAATCCTGCTAGCTATCATACACGCCACTATGTTTCAGATTCAGCCGAACGATGCAAGACAACAAGCGTTTCAGGCAACGATAATTAACCGACAATACAAAAGTCGCCCCGGTTACTAAATGTCGTCACAAGCCCCGTGTGTTATTCTATCACCAGCTTGGCTTGCGACTATCTGCTTGGCCTTACTCGAAAGGGAGCCAAAGGAATATCATTGAAGATCCAGTCGCTACTTGAGCATTTCCGCCCTGACAGCAGCAGCTGACACAGCATCTCGTAGCGCACGCAGCTGACACAGCGCAGCCGTTGAGCAGCGTGGCGACGAGCCTGGGCTGGAGGCTGCGATCTCGCAAGCAGGGGACACGCCACGCCGGGTGCGCAAACGATTCCGCGTTCGCGGTTCCGCAACGCGCCCGGCTGCGGCCTCGCCCGCGTCGCGTACACTGCAGCGGCCGCACACGTACGCACACGCATGCACGTCGCGCAACGGCCGACTACACGACCGCCCGGCCGGCCGGCCGGCAGCGCGCTCTCAACGCCCGAGTTTGCCTCTACCACGCAACCGGCAACCT